TAGGATTTCTTTTCGATTACCAATTTCATTTCCAATTTTTTGGAAACAATTAAATAATACAAGTTTTTTTTTTTTGGAATTGTTTTACGAAAAAAGGAAGCAAACAAATTGATTGATTGTAATTTTACTAAATTAAGAAACTGATTAAATGATTTATTGATTTGATTAAGTAAAATGCTATGTTAAACAGTTAGCATGTAATGAAATCAAAATAAAAAGAAAAACTTCCACGTTTTTTTTCTCTTCTATTTCAACATTTTATTTAATTTTACCATTTTTTTTCTTTTAATTTCTATCTCAAATTACTTTTACTCTCAAATATTTGAAAATGGATTGCACCCACTTTTGTTCCCATTAAATATTGACATTTTTAATTTTTAATCTTTAATTTTTTCGAAAAATTTAATGAATTAAAAAATAAAAAAACGTGCATATAAATTAGCATTAATGCGCATTTCATACAAAAATTTTTCCATATCATGTTGTAATTGTGATTTATTATCATCATGTCCAATAACAACAAATATTCGCAAATGACAATTGCGCCAAAACCTAAAAAAAAAAAATAGCATTTAGCATGAAAGTATTATTTCTATTACTACTACCGTGATATGTTATTTAGAATTATACTATGACGAAATTTTTCTTTCACAATCAAAATAATATAAAGAATTAATTAATTTAATTTTAATTTTTATTAATTTTTATGGAACCAATTAATATGATAGATGATGCTACCTTATGTTGCTTGAGTAAAAATGAAATGAGAAGCAATAAACCACCATCATGAAGAATCCACCACATATCAATATTTCCGGCCATTCTGTATTCATTTTCCGGAAAATATGGAATACCTTTTAGTACAAGTAAACACATATCTTGCATTGCACCATGTTGAAGACGATCTATAATTAAAAAATAAAAAAAAAAAACTTGAAATTAAATTTTAAAATTTTATTCTTTAATTAAGCCAAAAAAAAAACGTGTTTTATTTTATTTGATTAAATTATTCCGAATAAATTATAAAAGAAAAAAAAAGAAAATTAACTTACGCAAAAAATGCCAATAAGTACTTTCAGCATGTAATTCTTCCGGATACGGAATTAGTAAAGTATTTGGTCGTAATGGTCCAATACCACAACTTTGTATAAGTGTTGATAATGCACCTTCCAATTGATCTGCTTCATATATAAGTGATGAACAGAAACCATGAACTTTTGCATTTGTCATCTCTTCCAATAATTCTTTTTTCATTTGTGCCGCAATAATCTATAAATTTTATTTTATTATAATTAACAGAATTTTAACAGAATTAACAGAAATTTGTTTGATCTTATTTGTGTCATCAAATTGTCTCATTGATTAT